CTAAATTGTACTGTATCTGAAATACATTTATTTCATACTCAGTATACTACAAATGCTTTTACATATTTAATAAAAATACCCTGCAATTGTACTTTTAATATAAAACTAAACTGGTATACTTAAAATCTACTAAATTGGAACTAATTTTGTGCTTAATGCACTTTAATTGTATGGAATTACTGAAGTCCAACTAAATTGTGTGGAAGTGCTGAAGTCCAACTAAAGATTTACTGAAGTATATTTGATTGTGCTAAAGTGGAATTATTGCAAGTATACTTTAGTTAATATCATACAATCCTCATTAACAGTGACATTAAAATACATTTTAGGCTTAATATTAGGAAATGTGCATTGTGCACAATTAGTACTCCAAATGAAGTTTAATTATAATTTTTATATCAGTAAGTCTCGAGCGATATGTCATTATATACACATTAGGGCTGTGCAATTAATCGCATGTGATTAATTGCACAGCCCTAATACACATATATACTTATTAATACTAACATAAACAAATAAAGTTCAGCTGAACACGGCATTAACATTTAAAAATGTTCAAAATAAATATAAGCTAAACAAACACTTTTGTGTAAGAGCACCGGTAAGGGTGTGCAGTCTAGAGCAACTGATTTGTCTCTATACCTCCTTCCTGGCCGGTTTCACTATATTAGTCAGGACAGGCAATAGTGTTGATTACTCATTGGCCATTAGATTGCTTTCACTGCCATGGCTAAGGCCTCTGCATCATGAGATTGCTTGGCTGAGCACAGGATTAGAACATACTTCAGCCAAATCCCCCCTTTTTCTGCACCGCTCCCTCTCTCCTTTCCTCTTCCTCTCCAGGGTTCATGTGGCTACCCTCAGGTCAACACAGCACACACACATTTACAAGCGCACACACTGAGTTTGAGACAGTTTGACTAGCTGTACAATCACTATTACCTCATTTCCTGTGACCATTCCTTTACCCCCACATATGGCCGAAACATATTTAATGATAGTTATTAGGGCTGTCAATCAATTAAAAAATATATATATACATATATATATATATATATATATATATATATATATATATATTGGGGTGCTGTGTGTACATTAATGAGGAAAAAAAATTAACTTAAATGATTTTAGCAAATGGCTGCAATATAACAAAGAGTCAAAAATTTAAGGGGGTCTGAATACTTTCCGTACCCACTGTATATATATATATCAATTTAAATAAATTTGCCATTTAACATTTATGCATTTTACAGATGCTTTTATCCTAAGTGACATATATTGAAGCTAAATGTTTTATGAGTTCATGCATTCCTTGGAAATCGAACCCATAACCTTGAAGTTGCCAGCACAATGCTCTACTGCTACAGGAATGAATCAATCAAGCTGACTGCAGTTAACTGCAATTAATCAAATAAAGAACAAAGCAGGGGTATTAAAACTAAAACCTTAAAAAAAAAACATTTCTGTTACTTAAAATAAAATAAAAGTTAACTGAAATAATAAAATATTGAAAAAATTTAAAATGAAACTTATTATTATTTATGAAAATTAAACTTATTTCAGGTACTTGCCAAGATACCATTTCTCATTTTAATTAACTTGATGTACTAAAATAACTAAAGCAAAAAAAGAATAAAAATAGACATAGTCAAGTACTATAAAATGACAAAAACACACAACAACATTACTAAAACTTTAAATAAAATTAAAATGAAAAGAAAAATATAGAAATAAAATTATAAAATTCTCATTCAAAATATTAAAAACTATAATAGTGCCTCAATGATATTAAAATAACACTGGAACTTAATAGTTCTATTTTCTTAATAGCTTGTAAAACTACTAGTGAGGTGAGAGGGGCAGAATTAATTTTTAATCACACATAGTTAGCAAAAGGATTTGAGAGCCACTGACCTAACATTATTTATATGTGCAAAATAAGACAAAACAACTGCAGATTATGAAATATCCATGAGCAAAACAAGTAGTCAGACAAGAAAAACCTTGTCTTTTTTCATCTTACGCTCACAAAAAGCCCTTTCCCTGAAAAACAGCCGCCCTTAAAAAAGCCTTTCAACATCTCAGTAGATTTAACAGGTGTAAAAACACTGAGCTGGCTGATCATGTGGTGAGCTGAGCACTGGGAAATTCAGAATAACCTACAACATGAAAGTTAGGGGAGAGAGAGAGAGCGAGTGTAGCATAGCATTGCAGCTTAAAGCTCATTAACTTCTCTCGCTGGCACCTTGCTGAGTTTAAAAGAGCCGGCTGCCTGGAGAAGACACGTCCACTGGCCGATAATCAGGTCAACAGCGGCATTGAGCAATCTTTTAAATTTGGTCACTGATGCTTGCAGGTTGTAAAAATACTTGCTTTTGAGTGTCATTGTAGCTTAATGTGATAAAGTAGCCATCTGTCATGTAGAACAATGGGGGATCTTTTAGAGAAGTAGAAGGATAAGGCCGGCCAACAAAGAAGATGTAGTAGCTTTATTTTGACAAGCCAACGTTAGTTATGAACATAGTGCAAAATATGTCTTTTAAAAGGCTATTCAGTCTATATTGACTACAGGCTCAAATGAGAGTGACACAAATCTTTCTCTATGCAAACAAACTAATGGCAACGTTTTAGCGAGCAGCCCTTTTGATTCATGCTCGAAATAAAGCCATCTCCCGCTGATTCAAGAAACAGCTACACCATATAGCACCGATAAAGTGCTTGTGGGAAGACCACCACAAGTATACATAAAGAACATAAAGCGAACTCAGTCCAGGACAATTTCCAGCAAACAAAAACAAACACATCCAGACAAAATAATTTGTCTTTTAATTGGATTTGTCAGGTTAGGCAGAGTATGGAAAGAGAGAGACTATGAATTTACCACATGTGTCAATGTGTTCACACACACACACACACACACACACACACACACACACACACACACACACACTCATCTCCGGCAGAGGGCCGTTGGCAGGTTGTCCTACATTAATTTGTCACAGTTAACGCTGTGCCAAAGTTCTGCCATAAACTGATTAAACATAGTAGGATGTGTATGTGCATTTGTCTATGTGGATGTGAAGGAATTTTTACTGAGCTTTGCATCTGGGCACAAATGCACCCCCTAATGCACACACACACACGCACACACACACATAGAAAGACATTTCTTTGACTTATAAAACTGTCACTTCACACCTGCATGCATGAGCTGATGTTCTAGCTGTCAATCGAGACACTTCCTTTTCCCATAAGTCTTTGCAGCCGGGCAGGAGGCTTTGGATTTATGGCGGACATGATTTAATTTATTTGTAAATTTGTTCATTAATTCATTATAGTGTATGAATAACAAAATAAATTACACATATTTCAAATTATGCAGGGCTGAGCATACAATGCTGCCGTGTTTAGTGTAGTCCATCAATGATGAACGCTCTGTGTGTATGTGTATGTGTATGTGTGTGTGTGTGTGTGTGTGTGTGTGTGTGTGTGTGTGTGTGTGTGTGTGTGCGGGCACTAACATCCTAACTGTGTGCCACACACCTGATCTCCAGTTTCATGGGCTGAATACCTGTGGCCATTTACCAACAGTGATACTGATATACATCATATCCATGACAAGGGGGCTGCTTTGACACACACACATTATACATACACTCTTATTCCCTCTCTCTCTCTTTCTGTCTCAAACCTGGGGCCTTTTTCTTTCTGCAGTCATGCACATATTAAAAGGGCAGATACTCTGGGAATATGGCTGTGTGTTTGTGTGTATCTGCTATGTTATTGCTTAGTAACTAGAAATCTACAAATCCAGAGTCTTCCACACCAACTAGTGCTGGGAAAACAAAACATACAAGATGATCTACCTGACAGACACTGTTCCTCAAGTCGGAGCTGTGGTCTGGAGGTGGGGCTCATGTGGCAATTTGAATTTAAATCTAGCTCACAGATTCATTCTAAGGTAATGTTTAAGATTTCATGTTTAATTCTGTTTAGTGTCTAAAAAAACAGTTAAAATGAAAAAAAAATTTAAATCAAAACTTTTTTTTTCTTTCTAATTTTTATCTATTTATTTATTGGTCTAAATATAAGTCAATGTATGCGTTCCCTGTTAAGTAAAGTCAAGTCACCTTTATTTATATAGCGCTTTTAACAATACAGATTGTGTCAAAGCAACTGTACAGCATTAATTAGGAAAATAGTGTGTCAATAATGCAAAATGACAATAGTAAACACTGTTCATCAGATTACCACTAACTAATTTGAATGGGTTAATGTAGAGTTTAAAAAAATACTCTACTGTACCTTTGAGGCTGAGCTTAAATAAATACATACATACAGTACATACATACAGAATATTTCATGATCCCATTCTCCCATTCTCCCTGTTATGTAACTCTATGGCCTAAATCTCTCGCTGTCCTTATAATTACAAGTGCCAAAAACTAATAGTGGTTCTTACATTTTCAGTAAGTTTCTGAAAATGTGCAGAGAAGTCAACATTACAAGTGATTTAACCTCACTTTAGTTTAAGATGGAGAGTGCAGGGTGTTGAATGAGCTGGTCTGGGTCAGAGAATAACCTGCTGTCAGACAGCACTGCTCGAGAGAGAGAGAGAGAGAGAGAGAGAGAGAGAGA